GCACAAATCAGTAATACCAGTATTGCAATGTTGTTCATCCATCTCGCAAAACGTGTTTTTTTTTTCCAAGATTGTGCAGTCTGATGAGAAATGTGTTTAATATTTGCACTTGCCATAATACATATACACATACGCAGTCTGCAAGGCACTTACAATCTCAAACATACAACACACAAACGCACCCTCGCGGTGAGCTCACAAATGACCCGCGCTGAGTCAAAACCATTAGAAAGTGCATTTAGGCAAAATCAGATTCTAATCTGATGTAGAGGCAATTATAGAGTGAGTCTTGTGTTTCTGAGATAGCAGCGTGCGTTTAATTTATCTGCCTGGAAATGAAATCAATAAGTTCTTTTTTGCTCTGCATCATCAAGTTGGTCGAAAAAAGTAGTGCAGCCGTTCACGGAATCCTCCTGCGCTGAAGGACAGCGGCAAAGGCGTGGAAATATGTTTTCTCGAAGGCAACCTTTCAGGATGGATAGAAACCATGTCAAAATACTCTCCGTTTGGTCCATCTGCGACCAAATCCGAAAATGCACCTCGCCAAATGCAATGGTGGACATTTCCTTGTGCCATGGGTAGATCCCGACGATGGCCCCTGAACAGATTTCATGAGCGCTTAAGGAGCAAGAACGCAGAGGAGGGTTTCTCTGTCTTATTTTACGGTCTGTGCATTAATTGTTAACGGCTCCAGGAACAGGCTCCTCCTTGTTCTGCTTCGCAATCTATAAGCTTGCACTGGTGGTGTCACTTTAGGTGTGCAGGAAGTCCAGTTTCCTCATGCATCCTGATTTTATGGCAAAGTCCAGGGTGATGGCTCACTATATTGGACCATAGGCTCATTCTCGGTGGACGAGATGGCATCGAGGCTATAAAAGAGGCGATATGGCTCTTTTTCGCGATGCAAAGTGACTTATTATAATTTACTGCATCACTATTCGGATGTCTATGAAGAAAACAAGCATAACGATGGCTCTTTCAATCGAGCAAAATATCGTGAGTTAATCCATCCATCATCTCTATTCATTTGTACAATTCACTGACATTTATTTCATCAGCTGATGTTAAGAACCGCTTGTCAATCGCGACACCGCTCGTTGAAGCGAACAAGGGAACCGCGGGGTCGGGGCACATTCAAGCTTCAAAATAAGCACAAAATAAGCAAAAGATAATTCATGCGCCTTCAAATGTTCAATGCCATCAAATTGATTGAACGGGCTGAGACGTGTGTGTCCGATGCGCAAACAGGAATCAATATTGGAATGAACAGGAGGTTTTTTTTTGTTTGTTTTTAAGTGTTTTATTCCAAAAACCTTCAAAATAAGTTTCAAGTTGAAGAAAGTAGAATAAGCTTAGACACAATGCAAAGCATCATATACAGACGGATAAAATACATTTGATATATTGCAGACAAGCCATGGTGGGTCTTCCATATGTACAATACTGTAAACTTTTATGTACACTCTTTTTACATGTACAAAATGCCTTGTTTTTTTTCTTTTTTTTTCTTTGAATATATTTATATAGATTTATGTATAGAATTTTCATAGACTCCCCACAAGCATTTGTACTACAATAATGGGAAAATTACGGCAATTTCAGTTTTTTATTTCCTTTTTATATTACAAATGTATTTTCACAAAAATATATCTCTGTACAAAATTGTTCTTTTTTTGTTTTTAATTTGCTAATATTCTCTTTTTTTTTAGCGACACGACATCGTTCTCTTCTTCTCATTTGGTGGCCACTTCACATATTTTGTTCGCTTTCATAAAAAGGAGGGAAAAAAAAAAACAACTTTTTTTTGGCTGGTTACAAAGGAGAGCACACAGAAAATAAGTTTGCGCTAAAAAGCATTTCTTTTGACAATACTGGCAAAGAGCGGATTTTGAAATCTTAGTCATCAACAAATTCGGACACAGAGTGAAACGAAATCCATTCGAACAAATAACCGGTCGTTCAACAACTCATTTTTCTCAAAAGAGAAGCCCGTGCCCAATGAATACCCCTCTCAGCCGGAGTTACTGAACACTTTGGGTTTTGTTTCTGAAAACGGGAGCTGAAGGGTATCAACTATGAAGTGGCTTCGGCACGGGTGCCGACAACACAATGAAATACCAGCGGCAACAAAGGACAGTCGACCTCAAATATGTTGCATTGCATGACTGACTGATTGTTTGATACATACGGTACAAACTGTTGCATCAGAAAGCGCGACCCAAAAAAAAAAAAAAAATGACAGCTCTTAATCGCACCCCCGACCGACAGGAAATTTAGTGAACTCAACGGAAGTAGAGCAGAGGCTCTGTTCCATTATAGATGAGATGGTGAGCTGAAGAAAGCTGTGCCTTGGTGATAACAAAAAAATGTGTCAAGGATGGACCCAGTCTCTGTCTTTAAATATGCAAAGAGAACCAGGATGGGGCCAGATAGTACTTAAACCCAAACTCCAACTTCCTCCAAGAACTTCAGTGCACTTACTTTGAGAAAACTTTGCGAGTAACCCAGAACGGGGGTGCCCGATACGTCGATCGCGATCGACCGCTAGCCAGCAGTCTGCTCCCAAGTCGATCGCGAGAAATGTTAAAAAGCAAGTCACCTTAAACTTATGGAGGCGCGCGATCTGCATCACCGGAAGTTGTTAGCGGTCAGCAGTCTGCAATTGCAGGTTGCGATCAAAGCTGTTGCGATGTCTTTTTTTTTTTTTTTTTTTCTTGTGATTATTTTCATTTAAAGTTTGTTACAATCCACCGTTGACACTGGCAACGAATGGGAATCTGGAGCGCCAGGAGAAGCATTTTAAAATGGTACTGATCGTTTGAAAAGTAGATCTCGGTCAAAAAAGGTTGGGCACCCCTGCCCCAGAATAATCCGACATACGCACAAACTTCCATTTCTGCAAAAATATATGTATGCATGCGTACGGTAACGGGTGGATCGCTTGAAAAGTAGATCTCGGTCAAAAAAAGGTTGGGCACCTCTGCCTCAGAATCATCCGACATACGCACAAACTTCCATTTCTGCAAAAATGACCAGTGTTGATACCGACCGACTGAAGTCTTGGCCCCCGTTTGAAACTCGCATTACTCGTAGAAGTGAAGCGACACTGAGAACAAAAAGCTAAACACGATCGTGTTCTTTGGCGTATACTTGATCATCTCCCCAAAACATGCTACGACCAATCCAGCAAACAAAACATGGAGCCAAGCACAGCACTGACATTAATCCCTTCGCACATGAAGACCCTTCAGATGAACAAAAAGGGGGAAAAAAAAAAAGAATAAAAACAAATGATAAAAAATACATCACACATTTCAAGAAAGCTCTTTGAAGAACTCGGCATGTAGGCATGTAACCGCTATCCGTGCGTTTTACGTTCAGAGTAGTAATCGAGACCCCCGATCTAAGAAATTTGGAATTCAGCCAACTGGAGCCATCAATCCACTAGAATGAGGTCATGACAAGGCACTATGATGAACATAAAGTGCTTTTTGTAAAGAGGAGAGGTTAGAAAAATACACGGGACAAAGGTTCGAGTCGGATCTTTTCGACTGAGCCCTTGCGTTGACACACAAACAATCAGCGGATGATATTCTTCTTGTCACAATTGATTTAATTCCGGTCATGGGAAACTTCAATCTGGGGTGTTGGCTACTCACAGTAGTTTTGCGGACAAAACTCAATTTGGCTCATAAAAGGACATTTTTATCTGTTCAATGCATGACGGAAGAAATGTAGGGGAACACTCAATTAAAAGGGACGGACGGAGACTACTTGCATGAACGAAAGCAGCCACGCCGCAAGAAGAACTATTCGGAACAATATGACAAATTAAAACAACAGATAAACCAACCCCGAGACAAGTTTGGGACGGTGAACAGCTTAACGCCGGGCTAGATAACGAAGGTTCTCCACTCCCTGCGAAGTCTCCAAGGTAATTCAATTGTTTCCTTTTCCATCCATTCATGAGCGGAGCTGGCAAGGGCCAATATTCTATCTGTGGCGTTGCGATAAGTGAGGGCGCTAAAAGTAATAACATAGGAAAAGCAATTACCAGCCCACAGCCACTCCGATTCAAGGAACGTTCCGGCGATTGGCTTCAAAGGCCCACATTTGGGAGGCAAACGATGCACGCAGGTGATTAGGAAACACTTTCTTCGATGCTTGTTTGCGTGGATGCGGATTCGTTTATGTCACATATGTAGAACATGGCAGTGTTGCAAGGCAAAACTAAAAGCGCATGGAATATCTCCATTTGCAGCGGTCAACCCTTGGACGGAATGCACACATGCACGATCGGGTTGCTGAAAGGTTCCCTGCAGGGTGACAACAGAGACACAGTGAAACGGAGAAACATCCGTCGCACCTTCCCAGAAGGCATGACCTTCCCCCTGACGAGCGGCCGCCTGACACTTCTTGACTTCCCAAACCTTTTTCTTCAGTCACAGATGTTGGTCTTTTGTTAATTGGGGGAGAAAGGACAACCGGAGACCACGTTTTGTTTGGATGATTAGCAAGAGATGAATCAGCAAGTTGCCTGTTTTCCAAAGCCTTGACAAAGCCCTCTGGAACCGATTCGAAGTAAGTCAGGACAAAACAAATCAAGTCGACGGTTTTTCCAAGCTTTAGCTGACCGCGCCTACAGGTCGGAAAAATGACTTTTTTTTTTTTCTCACGCGAAGGGTGCCATTTTCTTTTTTCCAGGAATTTGCAGTCCCCAAATCAATTGCGCGGAATCGATTGTTGCTTCATCGCCACTTGAAGGAATTGAGGCAGAATGGATTTGGCTGAAAAAGGAACAGCATGACATCAGCATAGCCTCCTTCCGCTCAGCACAACACTGAATTTGAAAGAGGAGTTCAGAACATTCAAAGAGATGATCTCATCCCGTTTTCAAATGACATAGAAAAAAAGTCCGCCCGAAATAAAAGGTACGGAATGGTGATGAAATTAAGCCGAGGGGGTCAGGTTGCCTTGGATCACGAAGTGCTTCCTCCCACCCCCCCGCAACCCTTTGTACCCTCAAAGCCCTCCGCTGGACACCGCTGCCCAGCATGGTGAATTCAACGCAAGAGACATTAACGATCCGAAAAAAAAAAAAAAACCCATAGGAGCCCAAAGTTTGTCTCCAACAGGACCGTCACCGCATTTCAAATCCATCCTCCGGTGGTGCAGATTTGGGGAGGAAACCTTTGAACCGTCTCCGGAACAGTTGGTTGGGGGACGAAATAAGAGTTCCGCATCACAGAACTCAAGCGCCGCAAAGGCTGGACGCAAACACAAACAAACTCATGGAAAGCACAGCAAATCATGACTAATGTCTTGTGTGCCGTAAGGTTGACTTGTTTGTTAGCTCCGGTCGCGGCGAGTTCAAGTCTCGAGCACAAAATTCCCTCTGGGGTTTTGGCAGCGAGGAGAGAGGTCACAGATTTGCTTCCTGCGTTACTTTCTCTTGGAATGCACTTTTCCTGGCGCAAAACATTTCCTCAAGATGTGGTAAGAAGTTAGCCGGTCACACACACAAAAAAAAAAAAAAAAAAGAAGCATTTTGTTGTTGAAGGTTGCTGCGTTGTTTCTTTTATAGGAGCGTATTTTCCGACTGGGTTGTTTCCTGACTGCTTTTCAGTGGAGACGATTAATTTTGTCTTGCCCTCTTGCTCAAGGAAGTAAAGGGAGCGGGGGTGGGGGGGGTGTCCTCGAAGATGGGGCACACCTTTCCTCCCTTGACTGGAAGATTGATGCAGAAGAGGTGTGGAAAGTATGGAATGGGCAAACGGAAATGGAAGTGGTATGGCGCATGGAAAGAAAGGAAGCAGGGTAAGGAGTTGAAGAAATGATGCAAGGACATGAACACAAGAAAGAAAAGAAAAGAGGAAGCATTAGAGGTTATTTTCTCAAACGGTACATCCGAAAGATTACACGTCGGAGAATTGGCCTGAGGTTGGTGCCGGTAGTGGTGCTTTTTGCCCTTTTTTTTTTGTTATTTTTATTATTATTATTTTTTGCGGTTCCACGTCGCACCGAACGACAGCGGGGGCGGGCTTTCTTACCTTGAGGTGAAGTTGTCGCTATACGGCGGTGCACACTGTGCTGACTGTGAACTCGCTCTCGTTGGCCATGATGTCGGTCGGCTGAATGTTGCGATCGTACATGGGGTTCTCGAAGGTGGCCCGTCCGTTGGTGTTCTCGTGGCCCACGTAGCCATTGAAAGGGACGTTGGGTCTTCTTCTGGGAGACGGCCATGCCGGGGGAACAATCCAATTAGCAAACCAGAGCAAACCGTTTCCAAAACACACTTTGAAATTGGACTTGAAGGATTTTCACATCCTTTCCACTTTTATCTTCATTTCCAGCGAAATGAAGGACGTCTCTCCCGGTGTAGAAGAAGTAAAGCGCAAAAGCGTACCTGTGTTTGTAGAGGTACAGGGCAAAGCCGGCGATGATCATGGCGATAAAAGGCACTAGGATGGCTGCTGCCACTGAACTACTGTTGGAGGCAAAGTTGTAGGCTGTGTTGTCTCTGCTGGGATCCAAACTCTCTGCAAGAAAGCCAGAACATCGTCTCATTGACTCCCATTCAACCGGCTGCGGTTTTACAGAAAGCCAAACGCGCAACGGAGATTTTCCTCCCAAAACGTGGCCGATAACTACAGTGAAAAATTCCCGGACCATCAGCCAAAGGAATACGCCGATTGTTATGGTTGCAGGGGCGCTGCCGGCAACGTCTCATTTTCATAATAGGTTGAGCAGACAAGTGACCTTTCAAAGTTTAGCCCGCTGCTTTACTTTAATTTCGCCCCCCTCGCGGGAACATCAAAAGCCATTGTTGTAAAAACCACTCTTAGTTACAGGCGTGCCCCACTCGGAAGGCATTTTCTAATTTAGAAAGGCGTGTGCGTGCATGTGTGCGCGCGCGCGCCCGCGCGGCAACGCCAACCAACCTGTTTGCAAGAACAGCCACTTTCCAAAATAAAGCCCCAATAAAAACAGATGATAGTTGAGAAGGAATTCAATCAGTGGCTTACGTTGTACGTGCCAATCATCCCTTTTGCCGCGCAAGTGTGGACACGCACGCCCGTGGGAGGCGTGTCATTTGTCCGCCGTTGATTTCCAACAAACTGTGCGGCTTTCAACCGAGACGTGCAATCATATCAGCTTGAATGCAAACACGCAAGTGTGCTAGCAGATGACCGCTCTTCGGTGGTATGAATAGCAAGTTGATTGCTGTGGCGGCCG